AAATGTAACAATATTGAGCAATTTCAATATTAAGAAAAATAAATAGTGCAATGTCGTTTCCTGTGCTATTTCATTCCAAATAGTAATCAAGAAATTTTTTACACAGGTTGAGTAATGAGTAGAAATTCTTATCTATTTTATTAATGGAATGAATTATGAAACAGTTTATTCAGTATTTTTTTTTTAAATACTGAATAAACAGTCTTTTGGTATGAAATTCCAATTGGAATAAAATTAAAATGAATAGTTTTGTTTTAATTAATTTCATTTGTAATTTCATACCAAAAGACTGTCTGAAGAAACAATTATTATATTGTATTTTTATTTTTTGTCTTTGTTTTCTTTTTTATTGTTTTATATATCTCTACTGTTTTTTTTATTTTGTATATATAACATCCATAACTCAATTTATTAGAATAACCAAATGATTTACCAGATTTAAATAGCTTGATAACACTTAAAATAACCTAATAATAAAAATTTACCAGATTGGTTAGCCTTTTTATGCATTTCATGTTTATTATTATTAGTTTTTGCTTTTATTTAAGAGTCTTTTATCAGAGGGATGGTTCTTTCTAGTTTGCCTTGCATTACTTTGTATTAATTATTTAAAAAAATATGAAAATAATTTTTAAGTTTTTATTTTGTTAACTGAGTTTTGTATTTCTTAAATTTAATTACCAGTATCAATTGGACTCAAGTATTAAATATGGAATGCAAAATTTTATTTCCTTGAAATTTAATTAGACTTTTTGAAACTGTTGAATTTCAAAAAACCTGAAGTAATATCATATATTTGAGAATTCTTTCATGTCCATTTCAAAATTAGTTAATATGAAATAAAAATTTGTTGGGAAAATTAAAAATGCTTTCATAAAATTTTAAGCATTTTTCAGTAATTTAAACTTCAAAAACTTACTTAAGTGGCATTTCAGACTTTCATTATACTGAGAAAATCTACTGCATGTCCCTGTGTCCAGCCACATTGTCACAAGCTGTTTGGCTTTGAAATAATAACAATAGATTTTTTTCCGTTATATTTCATGTTTAAATACTTTCTTCTATATTACATTAACTAATTTTTTCATCTATATATAAATGCTTATTTTATTGTTGCTAATTGTTTTAAAGATTGGAGTTAAAAATGAAGTCAAATGTAAGAGAAATTTTTTTCAGTTTTAGTACCTCAGAAAATAGGGTGTGTCTTAGATTCAATATAATATGTTCTAATTAGCAATCTTTAGCACCAAGAGGCAAACTTAACTCACTCTTGCTAACTCACTTAGTCTACTACAGTAATGTTGTAACCATCTGGTTGAAAATTCCAGAAAAATTGTGCAGTTCACATTCAAGAAATGTTGTATTTGCCATGCTAAAATAACACCTGAGAATGATTGCATGTGGGAACATGGAAAGTGAAGAGGTTTTCAGCTTTGATACCAGGAAGACTGTGATGTACAATTTACTTTGCTGTGCAATAAAATCTGAACAAATTTATATCAACAGAATCACTTTTATTAATTAAATTATCAACAACCATGAGGCAGATAATAGTGAATGCTTATCAGACCAATGATGGGCACAAACACTCAGGGATCAAAGTGAAAACAATTTAATAAACACAAAAATTGACTTCATAAGTATGGAAACAAAAAACCCAAAATGCATTTCGGACTATTTTCCCGATAGATACCATTACCTTTAGTTAATACCAACTGATGAGGGACTATTTTCTATCAGAAAAATAGTCCGAAATGCATTTTGGGTTTTTCGTTTTCATACTTATGTAGTCAATTTTTGTGTTTATTAAATTGTTTTCACTTTGATCCCTGAGTGTTTGTGCCCATCATTGGTCTGATAAGCCCTCACTATTATCTGCCTCACAGTTGTTGATAATTTAATTAACATAATTATACCTAGGGCTAGAAGCAACTTTTGTAATAATTTTGTTAGAATCACTTCTATTATCAAAAAATTTGTCTTGGGTTTACTTTCTTTTCTTTTTTGAAAAAAGAGATAAGTTTTTTCTAATTTATATAGTATGTAACTAGATATAATTTTATGAATTTTTTTTATTTGATGATGATTTATTTTTTTCATCTATTTATAAATGCTTATTTTATTGTTGGTAATTGTTTTAAAGATTGGAGTTAAAAATGAAGCCAAATGTAAGAGAAATTTTTTCAGTTTTAGTAACTCAGAAAATAGGGTGTGTGGTAGATTCAATATAATATGTTCTAATTAGCAATCTTTAGCACCAAGAGGCAAACTTAATTAATTCACTCTTGCTAACTCACTTAGTCTACTACAGTAATGTTATAACTAATGTTTGCTTTTGAATTCTAGGTTTTATGTGCAAAATATAAAGCTTGGAAGAGTGTATGATGGCTCCATAAGTTTTTACAAAATAATAAAATGCACCCAAACTTCTAATTTCAGAAAGATTAATTTTTTCAGATATTTGATTAGAATGTTATTTATATCGAGCAGATCTTCTAGATATAACACACTACAAGTGCTACAAGCTACTGTTATTAACACAATCACTGTTAAGAAATAAAATTGTTAATTTATTAAAAACAATCCAAATGAAGAAATTTACTGAAATCTATCTGTAATGATTTTTTCCTCTAACTTATCACTTTAATTAAATATTTAAAATATTCTTCATAATCCCTGTTTATTTATCAGTAATTAAAAAGTTGTAAATAATGTTTTTGCTTTTATTTTCAAGTTACAATGCTATAATGAAAATCAATTTTAAAGATAAAACTACTATTATCAGGAATCAAAATTATTCTTTATTTAGTGTTTTTTTTTTCTATCTTCAGCTTGCAAAAATACAAATGAATGATGTCAAACACAGTTGTATTCCAAGCAAATCAATTTGAATTTAGCATGAAACATAAATTAGAATTGTTGATAATTTTTGTTAGTTTCAGGGCTGTGGAGTCAGAGTTGTGGAGTTTTGGTGTTTTAGCCTGAGTCGGAGTTGAAGTCGTCAAAAAATCCGTGACTCCGACTCCTTTTTAATTACCAACTTGTTATGTATATAAAATGGAAAAGTATTGGAATCATGTCAAATTTGACCCTCCAAGTTTTTTTGCAAATCTACAGGTTTGGAGACCTCCTGAACCCCTCAAAAGAGACAATAAAGGGGAAAAATTCATGCGTGTGTGTGTGTTGGCATCTAATTTGTTTAATTTCTTTATTTTCTGTTCTGAGATATTGTGACCGTAGGGTCGGTGTCTCTTCGACACCACGTCAGGAGACCTGAATCTGACACCACCGAGTCTCTGGGGGACTCGAAAATTGCGACATTACGTCACGCAAGCGGTAGCGGATGAGCGATTGGGTTCGGAGTAGAGGTGAGGAGGAAGTAACTTAATCGGATTCCATGGTTGCTAACAATTAACAATTTTAATGAAACTAAAGAAAATACAAAGAGAGTTAATTTCGGTCATAGTTCCCCTATTTAAGAGAGCCCCGTCGAGAGAGAGAGAGTTTACAAACGAATCACGGGTGGATAAATACCTTGTCGATGGACTGTTCTTTCCACTAGTTCCGAATCTTGTCCGTTCACTGGTGTGGAGGCACGGAGGAGTGTAGAGGCTTAATCAGGCATGAATTTTGCTCTCGGGATTAATCCTGGGTCACGACTTTAATTCTGGAGGACGACTTTGTTGGGCGGACTTTTGAAGACGACCTTTGTAGAGGGACTTTGGGTGACGACTGACCTCGGGGTCTTTTTCCTTTTCTCTTGTTATTCCTCTTGGGTTTTCCATTAGGTCAGGTGGTTGTTGTTAAGGGTCTGGCGTCCGATATAGGCACTCCATCGAAAGTTCCAGGTGACACATCCCTGACTAACTGGATCTGACTCAACAAGGAACAAACTCCGTGGGAAATAATTTTTATGGCTTTTAGCCTAACTCGATAAAACGCTCGAATTTAACCGATTAAAGTTTCCAATAATTAAAATTTAAAATAACACTTTATTAAGGGTCTGTTCATCCCTCACAATATTAAACAATATCTCAGAACAGGTAAAGTTTAAGAAATGAAATGTGGCACTGTAGCTTGCGTATAAAGGGGCATTAATACTATTAATTTTGGTTCTTAATTAAAGGTTGACAGGGTGAAGACATAAAAGTGGTCATGTGTCATATCTCTTAATGAATATTTTACTCGTTAGTGTTCAAAATTTAAAAAAATAAAATAAAACTCGTCTCTACCCTCAAAGTAAGCTTTTTCGCCATTTTATAATAGTACAGTAAAACCCAATAAGATGTTCTTGCCTAAGATGTTAGAATGTATATGGGGACATGATTTAGTTCAACCACTTTGACATTAAATAACTAACTCCTGTTTTAAACCATCTGACTCTGATTCCAACCACTCTGACCACAGAAATTATTAGGCTTCAAACAGGGTGAACAAAATCATGTCCCCCCCACACACAGTCTAACATCCACACATATAGAAAAAAAACCTTGAATCTTTTGCATATCTCGAAATTTCAAGGTGTCCTGAGTTGAAAAATGTAAAAATTTGGGAGTGGTCATTTTTTGACCGAGTGCTACACTTTTCCTCTGTTATGTATAACAGCCAGAAAAGTAAAAATTATCGAATACATATTTATATATTACTTAGAGAAGTCTTTTAGCTTTGGAATAAAAAGTTTCTATGCTCTATCTTTATTACAACTCTATTTATTGAATATTTTATTCTGAGGTCACGTGATGATATCAGAATTTCCGGGTCTCTTTTGGTAACAAGTCCACCTCTGGTCGGAGTCAGATGGTAAGGAAGAGTCGGAGTTGGAGTCAGTAGATTTTTACGTGACTCCACAGCCCTGGATACTTTATAACTTGATATATTGTTGAAATGTTCTTTTATTTGTTTAATTATAGTTCAATCATTTTAGTGTTTTCAAATTAATCTGATTATTTTTAAATTATTAATATTTACATAGATTTAATTTAAAATTTGATCTTTTGCAGATAAACCTTCAAATACCTACTATATATTAAAGATAAAGCCTCAACGTACCATGAGTTCACCAGATTACTATGGTTCAAAACTTGATTCTTCTGATTATAAACATATTTCAGAAGAGGTTTGTCTATTGATTTAAATTTCATAATTATGAGAATAAAATGTAAATGAAATTTATTTTATAACATTAGATACATTAACATGATAAATTAACTAGAAAATAATAGAAATTAATCTTTTTATATTAAAGCACTGTTAAGACTCAGTTATGAGATTTATATATATATAAAACCTCATGTGAAAATATAAAAAATTTACAACTCTTTTGTTTTTAAAATTCTATACAAATGATAATCATTGAATAGTCTATAAAGTGAGAATGTTTATTGTTTTGCTGGAAGTATTCTTAGAACTGATTTTTAAAATTATTTTTTTATTGGAAGGCTTATTTCTTTCAGATGAACATAGGCTGTATACTATTTTCATATTAAATGTTTTTACCCTAATATTTGTTTTGCATTGTTGTATTGTTTGTCTGCTCCATTTGAAGTCAATTACCTTTGCCACTTGGTGGGCTTTTTCTAAACTTATTCTCTTATCTATTCCATTAGTTTTGTGCAGTTCATGTAGTTATGTATATGCTTTGTTTATATTGTCTTGGTTGTTTGTTTCTTATAATAATAATCTTATTAGATACAACTATGAGGAACAGATTTATTTCCCTTAAATGAAACTAAACTTTTGTTTTTAGACCTATAGTATTTTTGTGTGTTCATTGTTTTAGTATTAATCCTACAGTACCATTATTTAAAAATAAGAATTAGTCTTAAGTTATGGGATATCTACCTACATAAATTGAGTTCTCACTCCTTCTCCTAATTTAATTCCCACAAATTGCCAAACTCTTTGACTGATTTGCACCAAATTTTGCATAGTTACTCTCTGCCACCCTGTAGGAAATGTACACTACCTTATAATGATGACAACTCAATCCTCTTCCAGTTCTGGAGCAATGCTGGTCATTCTTTGTTAGTCCTAATTAAATATTAAAGGTTAATTTCCTTAAGAGCATTCTCTTACTTTATTCTGGTAATTATATACAGTAGCTTTATTTTATTTGATTCTATAATTATATAATGTTTTGTATTCAAAATTAAAATAAATATGTCAAAAGTTGAAAAACTTAAATTATCAGCTTTTAATAATTATTTGTATATTATTAACCTAAATTATATATGTTATATATTTAGCTATTTCTAAAGAGTGCATAAAGTAACTTTTTGGTGATCTTGTTCTTTTGACTTTGAATCACATTAGTGTTGACTTGGGGGCCAGCCCAATAACTCACTTTGCTTTTTTACTCATTTAATTCCATCATGTTTAATATTTGATGTTACAAGCATTAAAAAAAACAATGTTTTGCCATTAAAGTAAGCTAAAGTTAATAATAATAACAGCAATTTCATTGTTTGTTATAATTTAATTAAAATAAATTGTTATTTACATTAAAAATATTGCAGCAGTGTATTTTATAAAACATCATAATTTCTATTTTAAATATTAACTAATAAAGTATCTGTTTAATATCTTATAAGGCAATTGATGTGTTTTTATAATTATTGTCAGAAATAATGTTACAATAAAATGATGAACAAGATGAATCTGATTTGCTCAGTTAAAGTAACAACTGAATGCAGTGTGGCTTTTGTCAGCTCTCAGGGCCCTGACTGAAAAGTTGACTGGCTCTATATAACTCTTGGCTCTCAGATAGAAACTGTTTCTTATTGAGTCATGAGTTTTTGAAGTTGCATACACAGTCTATATGAATGAACTATCAGTTAAAAAAGTTCTTTAAATATTTTTAGTTATTTCTTTAGTGTTGGAGTGTAAACTATTATACTTTACATGTAATTAAAGGAGAGGAGGTTTGCCAAAAGTACATTATTGTACACAACAGGAAAGGAGGGAGGGGGTCAGGTCTACATGTAATTAATGGATGCTTCCTTAAGCTGACTGTTGTAAAATTTATCCAATGAAAGATGTGAGAATTCAGAGAGGGTTATTCTGAAAATTCTCAAAGTTGAGAAGAAGAAGAGAAAAATAGAGAAATTAGTGTTTTTCAACTTTAACAAGTTTCTAAAAAACGGAAAAACATCCGATTGTGAAAGAAAGTTGATTTGCTTTCCCAGGCCAACTCATGATGAGTCGAGCTTTTGCAGATGTTACTGAGGAGAAAATAAAAGAGACAATTTCCCGCCCATCAAGGCAGTCTGTTGGAAAAAGGTTGCCACACGCAAGAAGTCCGACATGCGAGATAAGTTATCGTCATACAAGGCTGTTATAAGAATCCGAAAGGAAGTCATAAAACATAGAACTACATTCGAAATATACAAGAAGTATACAAGAGAAGACTTAAAAGGACTTCCCAAAGAAAATATTAGAAGAGAAATAATCAAGGAAGGAAGAAGACCCTCAAATAGATATAGAAAAAGATACAAAAGACCTAAAGAAGACGGTAATATTACCAGAGATAGATTGTTGTGAACTCTTTCTCTCTGTCACGCGTTAGGTTTAAAGATAATGTTAGATTAAGATTTAGGATTAATATTAGGTTTAGATTCATTCTTTTGTATAATTTCGTATTTTTGATCCATTAAATATTTTTTATTTGTTATATAAATATGGCTTCTTTAATATTAATGTTAGATATTCATGAGTTTAGGGACAACATGTGTTAATCCGTGTATAAAATAATTGATTAAATTAATTAAATGGTGTCGGGACTCCTGGCGTAAGGAAAAGGTGATTACGTGATCATCAAATTCCGCTTTAATTTAGCACATTAGCTAAAGCCCTCCACACTCGATTTCTTTGAATAGAAAAACCATCCTTGTAAGACAGAGTGCTATTCTAGAGAATAGTTGCCGAGTAAGTGATACTAGAGTCTTACCACTCCGTATCCACAGCTTAGCCCCTCACAAAAGATATGCCTTTTAACATAATTTTTGGCAAATGGTTAATCACTCTTGCAACAATTAAAACATGTAACATTATAATTTATCACATTAATAAACTTAAACTAATTTATATATATATATATATATAATAATTAAAGCACTGTTAAGACTCAGTTATGNAAGATATATATATATATATATATAAAATAAGAAAAACCAATAAGGTACTTTGATTGACTTGATTATCATTTATATTATAATTCTAAAAATTTATTGCTAACCATCATTTTGCTAACAAAATTGCATTAAAACATGATGTCTGACATACACAAGATATTTTAGTATTTTAATCTTTATAATATGGACCCAGATTAATAAAATGAATTAATGCACAAATTTTGTAATTTAGGCTTACTTGATATTTTTTTGATATAGCCAGAAATGTGTAAATCTTTGTTTAATATATAAATACAAAATAAATAGTTGAGATTTTTGACACAGATGTTTCTCTATCAATTGTTCTATTAAAAGAAGTGGTTATTTTTATAATTACAGGACCATGGCAATTTAAATTATTAAGAGAGTTATTTTTGATTTAGAAGGTTCTGGAAGAAAAGAATCAGCCCAAAGTGAGTCAGATGTTGCGGGTTTGAGTTCTGCTCTGGGCTGATTCTTTTCTTCCGGAACTTTCTATAATAATTATTAAAATATTAATTTAATTATAATTATTAAAGGTATTTTTGATGATAAAAGTTCTTTTAAATAATAATTATTTATTTTCTGCTTTCACCAAAAATTTTTTATAGGTTTATTAAAATTGGCAAGCTTTAGGATTGTTATTTAAAAACTTATTTCATTAAAATAAAATATTTTCTATAAAAGTATTTTTTCATTTTATAAAAATATCTATTATTATAATTGCTTATAGTAATTTATTACCATGAAAACCTATGCTGCATTTAAGAGCTGAACAAGTTTAAGTTGATTAGCTCAATTATAAAGTAACAGAATAGCTAGAACTGAATAAAGCTATAGATTAAAACTATAAGAAGTAACCTTCAAGAGTAGATTAGCCATGAACAGTTACAGCACTAATCAGCTAAGACAGTGTTTCTCAACCTCTAACGAATTGTCGCTCCCTTCAATAAAACCATTACATAGTATCACCCCCTTCACTTCAAAATTCCGATGCTGAGGGTCAAGGCTAACACAAAATTTGTACTGCATTGAATAGACTATTGACTAGTATAATGTTATTTGTTTAATTATTGTACGATATAATGAATAAAATATCTAATTATTCTTAATATAATGTTTTACTATGTAGCCCAGAAAATTGTTTTTTGCCCCCAAAATATAAATTGTTACAAATTGCCCCCTGAACATGGAAAAATACCCACATGGAGGCAATATCGCCTCCGTTGAGAAACACTGAGCTAAGAGGTGACTAGTGCTGTAACTGTAACACAGACTTACCTCTAAGAGATGAGAGTGAGCTGTCTCTGTGGTCACTTATTAAGTTACTTCTATTTCAGCCAAAAAGGATCTTTTGTAGAGCCAATTGCTCTTTGAACTTAACTGATTCACTGAGTTTATTCAGTTCACTTTACTGAACCAGCTCTATGAATCAGCTTATTTGTGAGTTACCAATGCTAACGTAACTAACAGCAAGATTTTCAAATAATTTTTCAGACTGGATTGGGAGATGCGGAACTGTGGATTAGTTCCTTCATCTCCTGATCTGAATTCTTTTGATTACTTCTTGGGTATGCTAAAGGAGAGGGTTATTCAGTAAAGTTCTTGACATTAATTATCCAAAGCAACACGTCATAAAATAATGTGCTAGATCAACAGAGATATAACATTAATGCATTGTGTTTGTGACAATTTTGCAGAATTATCGAATGGTACAAAGATATATTCTTAGACATAAAATACTGGCGAACACAAACTGGAACAATATAATAAAACAATTTGACACCTAAATGCTAATTCCAACAATAAAATGAACAAATAAACTTTAATGCTCAAATGTTTTCAGCCCTCTTTCAACTATATTTGACAGTTTGAAATTTTCAAAAGATAGAACTTTTTTTACAAATTTTTTTACAAAAACAAACAACATTATAGATAGAACTTTTTTTACAAATTTTTTTACAAAAAACATTATACTAGTCAAAGATATTTTCAATATGATAGAAACCATATTGAAAATGTTATTTGTTAAAATTTGTTAAAAATAAACATATTTGGTTGTGTGTCCAGACTTTAATTCAAGCAAATTGAAAAAATGATTATATATTCAAATTTTGTAAATTAAATTATTGTAGCTTTGCATTGCTTAATTTATTAAAAAAGGTAAATATTATTAAGCTTAACTTCACAAAAATTTATTTTTTAATATCATTTAAGTCATTAACTATATATTTTATGTATTAAACTTTTCAGTTCACATTCTTTGACACTAAAATAAAATGTGCGTTGGATAATTTTAACATTGAAGTGAAATCTTAAGTTTGCTTAGTACAAAAATTTAATTTCATTGAAATAAAATTTTAAATTTTCTTCAGTATTATCAAAATAGGTAAATTTGAATGCAAATTTTAAGTTATTTTTTAAAGAAATATTTCAAATGCATAATTTGTTACTAAATAGGTTACTTTATTTTGTATTTAAAAAACTGAACTAAAAGAAAGAAGAATTATGCAAAATAATTAATAAGAATTATTGTAAACAAACAATTTGACACCTAAACGCTAATTCCAGCAATAAAATGAACAAATAAACTTTAATGCTCCAACATTTTTGGCCACCTTTCAGAGACCCTCATCAGGAATGTACGAAACAAAAAAAAAGTTCTATCTTTTGAAAATTTCAAACTGTCAAATATAGCTGAAAGAGGGCTGAAAACATTTGAGCATTAAAGTTTATTTGTTCATTTTATTGCTGGAATTAGCATTTAGGTGTCAAATTGTTTTATTATATTGTTCCAGTTTGTGTGCGCTAGTATTTTATGTCTAAGAATTATTGTATTTTATAATTTTTGTATTTATGAAATTTTTAAAATTATATTTTAATTAAAATATTTTAAAAATTAATATGCATTTTATTTGTTTGAAGTTTTTAAATATGCCAGTTATTTTCAAATATCAGTTATATAATAAAATATTGAATTGCTTTTTTAACAATTTATCTTAGAGTATATTCTAAGCATTATAATTTCAACAAGAGATATCTATTTTTGTATTCTTATCAGTTGTTTCACAATTTTATTTATCTTATGTATCAGCAATATAACACGTGCACAACATGTGAATTATATGCAGTTTTCTATCAATTTGCAACTTAAATTTGTTTTTCTTTTATAGGCAATTGCTACTGGAAACAAACTTAACCTTGCAAAATACACGTATAAAGATAGCACAGGACTTGAAAGGTATTGAATGAATATAACTAATAAACATTTTAAAACAATTTTCAATCTTACAGAATCTAAACACTAAAAATTAATTATATGTAATGCGCATTTATATTAAGTATTTTTGTTGATTTAAAAGCTTAATATAATCTAAATAGGTCTTTCATGTTAGTAATAATTGTTTTATTTTAAAGATTTATATTTAAAAATACAAAATTGGTTATGAAAAGGCTTTTGAAAGCACATTTTTTTATATTCTAAAAGTTTGAATGACTTCATTCATTCTTTAAAGATAAATATCATGTTGGTTTAAGGATACAAAGTGCAGTATATTAAACCCCAAAATGACCTTTGAAGAGAAGATTAATAACTATATTTAAACATAGTCAAAAGTTTATATCAATGTCACCTTGATGTAAGAATAAATATACACATTATAATAACACAATATTTCTGTTATACATTTAAACAAATAAATTCTAAATTTTCATTTTAAAAGATTTTTATTATAAAAGTTTTTATTTATAAAAATATTTATTATTTGATATATTTTATTAGTTTGTAATCTTTAACATTACAAATACACTGATCATTAATTTAAATCTATTAATAATATATTTTATTCATTTAAACAAAAACCATTATTGTATGTTCTTTGAAATTAAGCACATAAATTGCTAAGGCAAACATGGAACACTTTATTTAATGGAAAAGTAGATTTTATTTTCTATTTTTTTTTTATGAAAGGAAATGCATTTCAGACCAATGCCTCTCTTCAGTCCTTCAGTCTCTTCATATTTTAGTTTTTCCTTATATATAATAACTAATGGTGACTGCTGGAATATCTAAGTGTTAAAAATGTAGCGTAAAACTAAAATGAAAAAATAAAACTTGCTAAAACAGAAAAAAATTTGAGAATTAAAAGAAGTAAAAACATAAAAACGTTAAAACCAATAAAAACTGGCTAAGAAAAAACATTATCATCTAGCAATAACTATTTTTAATAAAGATGTTAATTTTGAATATTTTAATTTATTTATCAAATAATACTGTTCTAAATTTTAAAAATATTAATGCAATTCTGTAGAAATATATTTAATGAGTTTATAAATAGAAAAAAATCTTATTGTTTATCAAAAATAAATTCTGCACTTCAACAAACTTCAAATGAATTTAATTTTAATTATCATTTGGGATGATGTAAATGATAAATACTCTATCAATTTTTTTAATCTAAAATATATATTATATAATTAATTCAAATAAGTTACTTTTAAAGTAAGATGTTGAATTTTATAATAATTTATTATGTTGATGATTATGTATGAAAAATATTTTTATTTAATACATAAATTTTGATAAATTTATATTTTTAACTTTAATAAGAGAGATTTAATTGGAAAATAATAAATAAGTAAATAAATTATCTAAATGATAAGTGTTCTTGGTTAAAAGGCATCTACTAAAGCTGATTAGATAAGAAATTTAATTTTTATATTTATAACTTGAGCTATAAATATAAATAAATTTAATAAAAAGTTATATATGTAATTTTATAATAGATGATTAACTAATTTCTAATTAATTTTTTTTTTTTTTTTGTTCTTTAGAACTTGTGAAGTTGTGAGTCGACAAACAAAACAGTGCCATGAAGATTCTGATTGTAAGTTAACAAAACGTAACTTAGCAATTTTATAAAAATTAAATTTAGAGTATTTCTGTGCAAATATGATCCTGTTTTTATGAAAATCACTTGTTTTTGCATTTTTGAAACCCATGTTCTACTTTTCATATAAGAGCATGCTCTTATATGTGCCAGCTTATTTTGGCTTGTAAGAGCACTGAACTGCTTTGTTAATTTAAATTAAATGAAAATGTACTGATGCAGTAACTATTTTGTGATATCTCTGTGGTAACCATTATTAAAAATAAAAAAAAAATGCTTCAGATGCTGTAACTCTTAAAATGGAACAACATAATTTTAATAATTATTGTTAATTAATTAACATAATTCAAGCAGAATTTACAGTATCTTGATAATTAACATATTAAATGTACTAACTAAAATAAAATTTAATAGCATCAATGATATTACAAACACCCGTCTCCCCTTGACCTTTAGGTTTGTCATATCTTGAGTGAGGTCTGACTTAATGAAAATTTAATTTTAAAAAATATTGTAAAAGACTCATTATTGGCATTGACAATACTTTTTAAAAACTCTTCACTACCTTCAAAATTAAGTCTTTTGTCTTTTTATAATAATTAATTACTATAAAAATTATTTTAATAAAATCTCATAACAGATGGTGCTACAATTTTAACCTTGGGCCAATATCTCAGTATTTTTTTTAACAACGATTTTTATCATAATTCAAGAAAATTGCACCTTTTTAAGCTTTTGTTGGTGTTTAAATTTATATTGTAGTATAATTGAAAATTATCAGACTTCCTAGTTCTCTTAACCTCCTGTTTGAGTGCTGGAAAAGTTCAGCAAAGAGCCCTTGCCAGCTTTTACAGACTGTTAAGAAATTATAATACCATCACATTTTTTTAGTTTTTTCAGAACTAACAATGTTTAAAATCCCCTAAAGGTTTTCAATGGGATTTAAGTCAGGACATCTCAATAGCCTAGATAAAACATAAATTTTCTTTCCCTTAAGGTAGTCTTGAATTTTTTTTTTGAGTTATGGCATGGTGCATTGTCTTGTTAGTACATTTTCTTTCTCTAAAATATGATCTAAATGGGAAAAATATTTTTCCAGTAATATCTGATAGTTTTTAGATATTAATTTAATGTTAACTTTAATAAGAATAAGTTTAGCATCATAACAGAGTGCTTTTCAAATCATGAGTCTCCACTCATTTTTTACTAAAAATTCCCTAGATGCCTTGCACAAATCATGGCAATATGCATTATTTCCATCTGGACTATCAAGATTGAACTACTTTTTATCTGAAAACAGCATGTTCCACTTTTTGGTTCAGGATATATATTTCTTGGCCCATTCTAATCTTGCTTGTTTATGTGCTTTAGCCAATTTGGACTTACTCTTTAGTTTTATGTAACTTGCATTCTTGTTTTTTCTTAATGTTTTCCAAACAGTTGCACATGAAACTTTTGTTTCAATTTCAAGTGAAATCTCTTGTGGACATGTTCTGTTGAGTGCCAAATTAATGTTCTGTGAGGACAGTGGTTTGATTTTTTCCCTTCCTCTAGATCTCTTGTTCTGTTCATAATTTTCCTTTTGTTTTTTTTTTTCAAAACATGATGAATTACTGTTTTGGATGTATTATGATGACTGGCTATGGCCTTTTCTGAGTAACCAGTACAAGCAAAATAATACATTTTCTGGATTTCTTTGTTTAATTCTCTTCTTCTTTGCAAGGTGTTTACCCAAATGCCCAATAATAAACTTAAGAAAACATGAAAAAAAAACCATTACAATTAGTCATGTGACATCAACGAAAACCAACAAGCATGCAGGTGATAGAAATTTTTCTCAAAGGAAGGGATTAAATCATTTTCTCACGGTAATCTCATTCCATGTTCCAGTATTCAAAAAAGTAACTCACTTTGACAAAAGAATAACATTAAAATGTCACATAAATCCAAGCATATACAGTGGAACCTTGCTTAATGAGCACCTCGCATAATGAGCAAAACAAATTGTAAAAAATGTCTCGTTTAGCAAGCAATGTTTCGCATAACAAGTGACAAGGAGAGGGAAAGTCCCGAATTGTGCGCATGCTCCATCAGTCTGTGTTTAGCACTCATTCCACTAGCATCTTAGTGTCACTTGTGATCAAATATATTTGCAAACTTGTGTTCACACATATTACATATAAACATCAACAACCATAGCCTGTTATTGTTTATTATATATGCCAAATTCTTGGGCTATGTAAAGACTAATTAAAGATTAGAAATTAATTAATTTGACTAGAGGTAGGCAGTTATGCTGCCATCTCGTATTAAATTTAATGACCAATTCCAAATTAAATTTTA